ATACAGCTTAAATATCTGTGACTAACATCTATAGGGAGCATGTTTACAAAATGTTCTGTTAACCAACACTAACAAGGATTCAGGGATTTGTTATAAAACATTGACGTCCAGATTAATGGATGTTTTAATGATATTTGCCAAAGCTGTTCTGAATCAAATTAACCTTCACAATATTATAGAAAAAATAAGCATTTCTTACCATCGTGCTAAATTCCAATCAGCTACAAATTGTGAAGGCTGAAAATATGAAAAATATGAAAGGGTACAATATTAGGTTAAAAAAATGTTTGACATAAAATAGGCTATAGTAACATTAATAAAAACACAGTTCTAGAGTTTTCAATCAATTTCACATTGATTTGGAAAAGTTGTCTTTCTTCATGGTTCAAGTCAATTCCATCAGTAGTTTTCATTTAAAATATAGTTTTTCTTTCTTTATCTGTCTTATAAATGTAAATACCTTATAGAGTAATATAAGAGTCAACCATAATGGTAAAAAATACAAAAAATAACCAGCTTTAAAGTAATCTTTGTAAACTTTACATGGTACTTTATCACGATTTAATACTTCTACATCTTCTTCAACAGCAACCTTACTTAACTACAACAAAAAAACAGCTACATTACTTAACTACAATAAACAACAGCTACATTATCTAGCTTCAAAAAACAGCAGCTACATTATCTAGCTTCAAAAAACAGCAGCTACATTATCTAGCTTCAAAAAACAGCAGCTACATTATCTAGCTTCAAAAAACAGCAGCTACATTATCTAGCTTCAAAAAACAGCAGCTACATTATCTAGCTTCAAAAAACAGCAGCAACATTATCTAGCTTCAAAAAACAGCAGCTACATTATCTAGCTTCAAAAAACAGCAGCTACATTATCTAGCTTCAAAAAACAGCAGCTACATTATTTAGCTACAGAAAACAACAGCTACATTACTTTTATACAAAAAACAAGAGCTACATTATCTAGCTTCAAAAAACAGCAGCTACATTATCTAGCTTCAAAAAACAGCAGCTACATTATCAAGCTTCAAAAAACAGTAGCTACATTATTTAGCTACAGAAAACAACAGCTACATTACTTTTATACAAAAAACAAGAGCTACATTATCTAGCTTCAAAAAACAGCAGCTACATTATCTAGCTTCAAAAAACAGCAGCTACATTATCAAGCTTCAAAAAACAGTAGCTACATTATTTAGCTACAGAAAACAACAGCTACATTACTTTTATACAAAAAACAGCAGCTACATTATCTAGCTTCAAAAAACAGCAGCTACATTATCTAGCTTCAAAAAACAGCAGCTACATTATCAAGCTTCAAAAAACAGTAGCTACATTATTTAGCTACAGAAAACAACAGCTACATTACTTTTATACAAAAAACAGCAGCTACATTATCTAGCTTCAAAAAACAGCAGCTACATTATCTAGCTTCAAAAAACAGCAGCTACATTATCAAGCTTCAAAAAACAGTAGCTACATTATTTAGCTACAGAAAACAACAGCTACATTACTTTTATACAAAAAACAAGAGCTACATGACTTAACCTAACATAATTGTACTATTGATCTATAACAACTTACCTCCGCATTTTCTACAGCACTAACTTCTTTCACTGGAGATTGATCTTCATCATTCTCTTGTGTTAAAACATTAGAAAAATCTACACCTTGAGACAATAGGTCCTTGTATGTTCCTAAATGCTGAAGTTTACCCTAAAATACATTATTTTTCACATGAATGCCTGATTTACCAATCATTTTAACCATTGTGATCAATATAGATAATTCTATTTAAATCATTGTTTGATCAAGCGCATTAGTGGTCTGTCTTAATACAGACATATGGAAAAAAAAGGTTTTCATTTGCATTTCATATAAATTCAGTAACAATTGTATTTGTTGGTTTATAGATGAATTTAGTCAATAAAATAATCAATAATGTTTCAATAATGAAAAAATAATACCATGAGTAAAAAAATTTCATTTCAACTAATTATAGTTCAAATTGAAATGACTTTATGTAAATACCTCTTGTTTTAGAATAGATATCTTGCCTTACCTCATGTAAAATCAATATTCTATCTGCATGTTTCAAATATTGAACTTGATGAGTGACCAATATTCTAGTTTTACTTTTTAATAGACCTTTAATACACCTAGTAAATAAACAGCATTTATATAGTAAACAAGAACAACATTGCTAATTTCAGCCTAAATGGAGGGAGCAGGTAATTGTAACTGATGAATTCCACTAAATTAGGTTTAAACAGGCACAATATCTAGAAAATGTTCTACTACTACTAGTTTTGATCTGGTGTATTTTGTTTATTCTTAATATGAGAATTATGAGTCAGAATCTTGTGACTACACCATTTCCCTCAGTGTTTAACAATACTTTAGTCATACTATGAAAATCAACTATGAATTGATAAACATATAAAATACTTACTGATGAAAGATGTGTTGACCAACTTCAGAATCAACAGAGCTAAGGGGATCATCTAATAAATATATGTCACTCTCCCGATATGCAGCTCTGATAAAAACAGGCAAAACATCAACAAAAAATAAGTAATAAGTTTACATTTAATGACAAAAAAAGGCAGCAATTCATTTCAAATATTTTTCAATCTTGATATTTGATAAGAGACAATGAACAATATTGCAAAGCTTCTTTCCAAAATCCATCAAAAATTGTGCTTTCCACAGAGTATTTCATATGGACGTATATATAAAGAGGAATTATACTTAAGCATAATCAATATTATCGTGTATGTATTTACCTAGCCAATGTTAAGCGAGCCTTTTGGCCACCACTTAAAAATAAACCTCTTTCTCCAACAAAAGTTGAATCTCTGTTTGACATATTGTCGATATCCTGCAAAAAATGATTTAATAATAAAACGACGTAACGAGAAACCATTTCAGAATAGTGTAAAAAAACAATATACTGTTCAAATCTTTTGTTGATGTGTTAGGGAGCAGAATGTCAGATTTTGACTTCTAAAGGTGATTCAGATAGCAGAAATTATGCTCTCTCAAGTAAGTCTTATATTAAGAAAACCATATTTCTACAAGTAGTTTCTTAGCTTCAAAAAGATATATCTCAAAAAATTTACCTTGACTAAGGCACAAGCACGGAGAACTTCCTTATATTTGGCTTCATTATATTCATTTCCTAGTAAAATATTCTCTTTAATACTGCCAGAAAACACCCAAGACTGTTGACATGAGTAGCTTATATCACCATACACAGTTATCTGCCCTTTATTATGTTGTATTTCACCCATTAATGTCATCAATAATGATGTCTGTAATAACAAATGAAATCTTACAGTTGCATGAAGATATTCCAAGTATAATTCATAACATGTTACAGTCTATTATATTTTTAAGTCGTAAAAAATATAAAGTAGGATCATTCGTCAACTACACAATAACAAGAATTATTTAAAATTGTACACAGATTTGTATTAATGTCAGTTGAGAGCAATCAATATTTAACAAGCTTCATTTTCTTATTCAAAAAATTAAAGTATATGTATGAGCCAACTGAAACTAAAATGTTTCTCTACATACCTTACCACAGCCTACCTTACCAACAACAGCCAACAATTCTCCCTGCAAAATAAATACAAATTGGGTAAAAAAAATTAGATTATCTTTTAAAAACCTGTAGTCACTGAGTAGTCATGGAATCAGTTCTTGAATCAAAAGGACATTCAATAAACAAGTTGGAACACAGTTTAGAACACTTTCCATATGTGCTGAAACACTAGCAGGTGAATTCAATATGGCGGAGAAAGGACTAGAAGGAAAAAATTTTAATGTGACAAATCTGGTTCTGTACCCTTCAATTAAGATCAATATTAGAACACACCAAACCTATTCAGTCTCACCCATCAAGCACCACCCTTGTGATAAAGTTCAAATGGCCAATAAGTTTAACTATGCCAGAAAATATCTATCAAACTGTTTACTTTTTATACTTTAACTCACCTTGGTCACTGATAGATTTAAATTCTTTAAACTGAAGTGTTTCTCCATTTCAGTCTGTAAAAATATATCTTTTATAAGTATACATAGAGAAACTGAGTTAACTGAGTGACTAATGATATTTTAAGATAATTATTTAAATGACCTTGAAATTATAATCATTGTATGTCAGTCTACTAGGAATCATTGATTACACAACATTCAAGATATTCTATTCAAAAACATGAAACAAGATCATAGTAAGATACTTAATCCAAACGTTATTAGGTAGTGATGAGTTTCTAAAGCAATCTTGAAGTGATACCAGCTAATGAAAGCTTAATGTCAGCTATCAGTAACATTTGGGATAGAGCAAAATCGTACCACTCCAGTTGCCATTTTCTGATGTAAGTATATCATTGAATAGTAAACCAATGAGCCCAGATAGTGACTACCCTCTAAATTGAAGAAGTAGATTTTTGTTGAATCATACAAGAACTTAACGTCAGAACCAAATTAACATTCAAACAGTGTTATGGGTAGCTGAAATTTAACTTGCTTTAACAAGGAAAATAACGTCAAACTTTCCCATTAACAAATGAAACTTATTTGTGGCCAATGCATATGTATTTCTAAGTTTTCCAGTTTTCCATAGGCATTATGAATCATTGCTTTCTTTTAATTTACAATATATCTATACAAACCTCAAATAACAACTGTTCACTTTCTATCATCCTAGAATATCTAGATTCATTATATTCTGGATTAATATGCCACCTTGCTGTCATTCTCAAAATATCTACAGACAGTTCACTGTCATTATGGGTAGATTCTTGTTTTACATCTTTAAATGTTCTCATTGATTTCTCTTCATCTATTAACAAAAACCTCTATAATAAAAACAGACTTTATAAAACAGGTGGAATAACTCTTTAAATTAGAACCGTCTGCAATCACACGTCTTCACCTTTAGCTTGGTTCAGAGGTAAAAAAAATATACCAGGACAAGAATAATTCTAAGAAATGAGAAATGACAATCTATTCAAGCAAATCTTAAATCTAGATGCTAAATGAAATGAATAGAGTTTTAAGAAGATATATGCTTTTTGTGTCAGGTTGGGTTAATATGGATGGGCAATACATTTCAGTATCTATTGAAGGACAGTTTGCCAGGGCAGTAGAAGTAGACTACTTTTTTATATTTCGATTAATGAGAAGCCAAAAAATGAATTATATTAAGAAAGCAAATTTTGTAAAGTTAAAATAATTATTTATGAGATTTCTACACTGCAACCTCATTCCAACCATTTTCCAAAGTAAAGTTTGATTTTACTGCTTTTACATTTCACTTTTTTGTTAAAATGAATTCTTTAGTTACCGTACCTGAACACGTTTTAAAGAAGCATATAAAGCCATCAGGTTTTCAACAGCTAAAAATAGAAAGAGGAAGACTGTGTCTTGTAGAATTAACAACCAACCAACTGTTACAAATACAATATGAACAGATAGGGGTATTCCAAGCCACCATAATGATACAAATATAATCAGTCCCATTAACTTTGGTGATACAAACATTAATCCCAGATTTAATGCTCTTAAAAACACTGCTATTTTTACAAATTTCACTTCTTCCCTGTAATGTATGATCATAATATTATGAATATTTAAAAAATTCAGATCTCAATATATCAGATGTAGAGAGATATAAAAATATTAAAAAAGAACCTGAAAAATGAAAGTGACAAGAGATTTGACAGTAAACATTATTACAATTTCAGTATTACACAGATTCATACTTACTTTCTGATTTTTGTAATTAAACTATGAAATGGTTTCTCCCAACAATACATCTTTATAACTCTAATTCCAGATAGAATTTCATTCATCTTATTAATTCTCTTATCAGACCATTTACCAATTTTACCTCTGAAATGAATAGTTGAGAAAATAACAAATTAACAGTTTCATCACTTTCAGGTTATAATTACTTTTCATAAAATCAATCATCGACAGTAAGATGATGTAAGAATCGTAATAATTGAAGTGAAAGCAGTCTGAACTTCTACACTACATTTTTGTTGAATTATAGAGAAACTCTTTACTTGTATACTGAAAGTGATACACATAGCTGTCAGAAAGTTATATTCATTTTCATCTCATATAATTTTGATAACTTGCAGTATAAGATATATATACATAAATAATCTCACCTCAATCTTGCAAACATTTGACCACAGAATATTTGTATAGGTAACAGAACAACAATAATAATCAATGTAAATAATGCAGGAAAACCAACATGATGATATAATAACATCAATATCACTAACAATTCTATTGGACAGATCCATAAAAAATGGGATGTTTCAAATGACTGGAAAATAAGATACATAAAAAGATAATAATGTTTCAAATTTCCTGTTTCCTTGTTTTGAACTTCATGTGATAGGCAATGATCAATATGCTTATATTAGAAATAGCATAGCAAATTATACTCAGTCAGTAGAATTATCAAATATCAAATTATGTAATGCATAGTAACACCTGTCTGTATACATTACTAGAGATGTCAGTAATGACAACTCTTAGATAGTGATGGCGAGTTGATAAACCAAGTCACAGATTGGCATAAGGTGTCCAGGCAGGATGAGCGTTGCTTACCTAGCAAAGACCCCCGGCAGGACTTAATTCAGTTGAGTTCAAATTCCAAAGTCTTAATTTTCAAATCACATTCAGATAAATTATGATAATTTAAAAAAAAAAATTAAAATATAAAAACTTACAAAATTGAACTTTTCTAAATCGGTGGTTAAAAGATTCAAAATTTTTCCTGAGTTTGTAAGATGGAATGTTTGACTGTTCAAACTTAAAATCTAAAATAAGAAAAAAATGCAATACAATTTCTAAACATTTTTTTTCTAAATTTGAATCAGCTTGTTTATCTTGTTTGTCCCTTTTCCCCATATTTTGACATATTCCTTTTTTGTTATCTCATTCTTACCTTCTTATAAATCAATGCACCCACAGCAGTTTTCATCTTCAATGATAAATGTTGGATTTTATAAAAGTGAAATAAATCAAATAAAACAGCACAAGTTAATAATAATGCTAATAAAACTGCATAGATATATGCCCAAGTTCTGCTGACCACATTTTCATCTTCAAAATGTAAAATTAATTGCCCAATTATATAGGGTTGAGTAACGCGACATGTTTCCTGAAAATAAAATAGATGATCATTAAGTAAATAATAAATAAACATTGAATCTATAGATAACAAATGATGAATAATCATACAATAAATAAAGACTAATGAATAAATCATACAATGAAATGAATGATAATAAGGTTTTAAATAAATAATTAGGCATTTAAATGAATTTGAAGAATCAATCAATTCAAAAATCATTCATCTGTAATAATTAACAATATTACCAATACATTTCATTAAACACAAACAGCTATTGTTATGATGCAAAATAAAAAATCATTATAGCATTAGTGTATTACTTACACATAAAAACATAGCCAGGCCTGGTATGATGAACTCACATCTAAAACTTCTGATAACAGTTAAAAATAAATTAGCAGCTTTCCCTTCCTTATAGCGTGATATCTGGGGTTGCCAACACCTTGAGAAAAATTTAATACTTTAATTGACAAAACAGCTTCTTTGATTATCACAAACACGAGGCGATTCTTGCTTCAAAAGTTGTTCATATCTTAGAACTATTTTAAATTACCAAATAATTACAAAATTGACATAGTCAATGCCAAAAATCAATCTGGTGCACTGAAACCCAAAATCACATTGCTGTAACAAACTAAATGTATGAAATAAACATAGTGCAGTATATGGAGTCAACATGTACCAAACAAAATAATAAATGGCACTGATACTAAAATTGTAATATTGTTCTTATTGTTGATTATTCATATCTTCATGTTTCATGTAAAAAATTCACTAAAACTGGATCATTTCATTGTCAACATTTTTCAAAAAGAGGCACTTTAGAGTTTGAGCCTGGCACAACTGGCATAGACTACATTTGGCCACATCAATACCCTGGCAACACATTATGATCATATAAATTAATAATTATTTCAATTTCACTCAAGATAATCATACCTATCTATTTTTTGGAGAAGAAAATCTGATTTATCTTGTTTTGGACAACTTGAAACATCTTCTAATGTTAATCCTTCTTTATAACCTTTTCTGAATAATGAGTTCAACCACCTGTAAACACAGAACAATTCATTTTCAAGTTGATTCAAATTAATCTACTCTTATATTCATACCAAGTTTTATCAAAATTAATGGAAAGCTGTAGCTTCTAATTTATTCACAATAGATTTTGACCCATTGATCATAACCTATATTGTGTTCACCAACAGATTTTGACCATTTGAACTCATGTTTAATAACTAAAAATTTGAAAAATTGTCAGATTCAGACTTGTTCAAGATCTTATCAATTCTAATGAGCACAATAACTTTCATTAATAGCGAGGTATGGCCTATTAGTGAAATTAAAGATCTATTAACAACTTTCTTTTTATGTCCTAAATGTTTATTCAGATATTCAATAAAATAATTGGTTCGTTTTTTTTTTGCTTCATTGATTCCTTACTTTGATCCACATTTTCATGAGTAAACATAAACAACTCAGCAATGTATGTATGTTGAAAAAGCTAGATTTATAAAAAATAAAGATACATGTTGTATGAATACCCAGTAGTATAATAATCTTTTCGTTGAATTTACATGCAAAAAGTCTTCAGAATAACTAGGACATGTACGAAAATAGTATTTTTCCTTCAAAAAAGGAATTTCTATTTCTGTATGTCTTTTCTAGACTATAGCAGAGTCTCAAGAAAAGACGAGTCGTCAAACTTTCAAATGCAGATAACTCTGAACAAACTTATGGATATCATGGCTCAAATTTTGATGTTGAGTTGTGGACACTACTACTGATTAGCTTGGCTCAAAAAATCCCATTTCTGACACTAAGGTAGGCTACGATTGATCAAACGGTTGGTGAACTTGTCCCTGATATCGACATTAGACAAGCAAAATAAAGTTAAAATAGTTACCAGAATGAAGCCTTGGAAACAAAACTGGCTCGATCATACAGACTTCCATCATACACGTCATTGTCTTTCATATTTCAAGTTTTATATCGAGATCAAATACAGGTTTTCATTTATCAATTTAACAAAATGTTGAAAATCATCAATCACAGGTGTTCCATTTTTTAATTCAGACCACACTTATTTACCCTACATCTGATCAATGCATTCGTATAATTCGTTTTTTTTGTAGAAAACTATCGCAAGAAAACAGAATAAAGATAATGAATAAAAACTAATAATGTATATAAAACTTTAATCTAAAAAGATTAGCTAAATGAATGCAGTGATAATGGTAACTCTAAGCTAAGGAACTTAACGAAAGTGGTCCTCAGTAATATCACGTGTCTGAAAACTGCTTCATATACCGAATGAAAGGGCTTCCGCCATTACTCAAAAGGCGTATTCGTGCATATATATAATTATATATATAAGGACCGAATTTCGTTTAATTTGAAAAAAAGATATTCTATAAAATGAATAAAATTTGTTTGTTTCGATTTTTTCATAAATCCCTCACTTTGACCCACGTGTCATTTCGTCAATCATGGGTTTCGTCTTTATTTGTTGGGTCTAATAGGAATTCGCGACAAGGTATCCGTATTTACGTTACGTTTTCCAGGTCTATACTGTCGAATTCTTCAAGATCCAAACTCCATCTAGTTAATCTTGAATTTTCACTTTTGATGTTTTATCAGTAACCACTTGCAAGGTCAATAGTACTAAATATTGAGGCACCTGAAAGACTATCCAAGGTTTGGTCCACTCTTGGAAGCAGATAAGCGTCTCTTCGAGTTACTGTATTCAGTTTACGAAAATATATACATATGCGAAATGTTGAATCTGGCTTTCTATGGCGCTGTATTTGGTTCAAAATAGGATCCAGATCTGATTGTATAAATTCTTAAAATCGCGTGGTCATTTCTTAGGTAGAAATGACTAATCTTATAAAATTAAACTATTTTTACGTGTTTTATCTCCTATCTTATTTACCTTTTTCAATTTGAGTCTTCTAGAACCTAATTTTAACAGTAAACTTTGTAGAACGCAGAACGCGAATTTAACCTATAGGATCTTGTTCACTGAATCGTAATCTTTCAACTTTCTTCACTGGATCGTGTTCGCTGAATCGTGATCTTTAGAACTTCTCCACTGGATCGTATTCGCTGAATCGTAATCTTTCGACCTTTTTCATTGGATCGTGTTAGCTGAATCGTAACCTTGAATATTACGGAAATTAAATTAGATCACGTGACATTTTCTGCATATCATTATTATTCGTGTTTTTAATGAGAAATAAATTGGTGGGTTCGTTTTGCCGCATTGCCCAACTTGCCGCATCGTACCCAACTGCACAAAAACGACTTGTAAAACGAAACTAAAGTTTTCTTATAAAATCCGGAATGGCCATTTGTTTCACACGAAACGAAATATTTCAATCTGTTGTCCCGCATCGATTTTCTTTTTATTTTTTGACTGTTAGGGAAATCGAAACTATAGTTTCAAGACTTTCGTACCGTGTGTTTTTACAGAGGCATACTTTTCGCTATTATGGTGACAATACTGAGTTTTCAAAATATAACCCTCACCGATCACGGTTTTAGATTCCACAATACATATTTTCCTGTGGATCCATCTGAACATTTTTTCTAAACAATCGCAGGTTCGTCTAATTTTGTCTCCAACTGCCGACGGAAGTGTGGAGCCAATCAACCCCAGCTTCTACCTTGTCCACCAGGACAATCTGGGACTTATCTGGAACCAGTAGGGATTGAGCCACTGCCGAATTATAGAGCACTTTTCCTCGCTTGATAATTCAGATTTACTATTAAGAAGATTTTTACTTTCAGACATTTCAGTTACCATTTTTTCTAGCACGTGGGTGACGTTATAGGCTAGCAGTAGAGGGACATAACTCTTGCAAGTTATGACCAATATTTTATTTATATTGAATTTGTCTTGTTTCATTTTATGGATTTATGTATTTTGTATTACGGTTATCATCATTTGTACTTGGTATTCATTTTATTCCAGATATTACCATAAGATTATAGTTTCGATTTCCCTAACAGGTCCAAATTATAAATAAAACAGATTAAAATATTTCGTTTCATATGAAACAAATGGCCATTCCGGATCTTATTAGAAACCTTTAGTTTCGTTTAAAAAGTCGTATTTTGTGCAGTTGTGCACGATGCGGCATGTTCGGCAATGCGGCAAAACGAACGGCAAAACGAACCCAGATTTTTTCGCCAAAGCAAAATATAAGCCATTTTCTCCCTGAAATGGAGGGTTTTCTCCAAAGTTTGACAAAAAATCGAATTTCGTTTTCTGAATGAAAGAGATGGGGGACATGTAAAACTGTTGTTTGCAACAAAAGTTATACCTCTAGGGTCAAAATTGACCGAGTTATGGGCTTTTGAGTGAAGTGGTGGGGTCTGAATCCAGTCTTATGGGGTCCAATGGCACCAATTAGGGTGCAGGCCAAAACTTTGACAGGCTGCCAATCGAAGGCTATCAGAAATGTAAAGCTGAAATTTGCACTGAATGTACATACCCATCTGAAGTTGCTCTGTTCCAAATGTCAAGTTCCTGCCATGCAAACTTTGTCCGTTAGAGCACTTTTAGTCTCAGATTTTTTGCCCAAAGCAAAATATAAGCCATTTTCTCCCTGAAATGGAGGGTGGAAGTCGATTTTCTCCAAAGTTTGACAAAAAGTCGAATTTCGGTTTTTTGAATGAAAGGGACGAGGGACATGTTAAACTGTCGTTTGCAACAAAAATTATACCTCTAGGTTCAAAATTGGCCGAGTTATGGCCATTTAAGTGAAGGGGTGGGGTCTGATAACAGCCTTATGCAGTCCAATGGCACTGGTTGGGATGAAGGCCAAAATTTGACAGGCTGCCAATCGAAGGCTATCAGAGATGTAAAGCTGAAATTTGCACTAAAGGTACATACTCATCTGAAGTTGCTCTGTTCCAAATTTCAACTTCCTGCCATGCAAACTCTGCCTGTAAGAGCACTTTTAGTCTCATATTTTTTCTCCAAAGCAAAATATAAGCCATTTTCTCCCTGAAATGGAGGGTGGAACTTCTAAATCGATTTTTTCCAAAGTTTGACAAAAAATCGA